TTTATTTATTTATTTTTTTCCCCCCAAAGCCCCAGTAGATAGTTGTATGTCATAGCTGCACATCCTTCTAGTTGCTGTATGTGGGACTCGGCCTCAGCATGGCCAGAGAAGCGGTGCCTTGGTGCACACCAGGGATCCAAACCCGGGCCACCAGCAGCGGAGTGCGCTCACTTAACCGCCAAGCCACAGTGCCGGCCCAATATTTGATATTTCTAAAGCTCAAATTCTGATGAAAAGGACATAACAAATTTCTTGCTTTAGGGCAACTCAGTGTGCCCCTACAAAAGATATTATAAGGCAGTGAATTAGCTCATGACAGTTTAAATCAATTGCTGAATTCTACAATAATAAACTCAAAACAGAGCATGAAGTGAACTATATTTGAGTTTGGGGGCTATACCATACTGGGTGAACCATGCAGCTTTTACCAGCCCAAATTACAATGGCTACTTTGTAAAACTGAAATGAATAAACAAAGGGATAATTCAACTTAAAAAAGAAAAGTTATTTGTTATTTAAGAAAACTGACTCTTTACTTCATATGTAAACAAATCCATGCATTGTTTTTTTTTAAAGATTTTATTTATTTATTTATTTTTCCCCCCAAAGCCCCAGTAGATAGTTTTATGTCATAGCTGCACATCCTTTTGGTTGCTGTATGTGGGACACGGCCTCAGCATGGCCCGAGAAGTGGTGCATCGGTGCGCGCCCGGGATCCGAACCCAGGCCGCCAGCAGCAGAGCGCTTGCGCTTAACCACTAAGCCACGGGGCCGGCCCCAAATCCATGCATTTTAAAGTAACCAGTTTTGTCTTTCTGATCTGATATACATCCAAAAGAATTTCTGTGACTACATATTTTTGAGTTTTTTTATGTATGTGTCTTAGAACTATTAATTTTAGTTAGAACAGCCATGTCTCTTATTTTAGAATTAAAGGGAAACTTTAAGTTTATTACAAAAAACTTGTGGGAATTTCTTTCACTTGGGTGCATTTTTTTCTTTCAGCGTAAAACTTTAAATATCGAACGTCATGGTGAAGCTGTTCACTTGCTATTTCATAAAATGGACAATTTACCAATCACATCATGACTTCTGTAATGGTAGGATGAAGTTAAAAAATGATTCTAAGGTTAATCTGCAACTCTATGTGACTTTGGAAGTAACTTTTATTAACATAATTCCTTTCTTCTCTGCACTTGATTAACATTCTCTAGATGCAATGCCCTTCTACTTCTTGTAATACTGGCAAACTTTGTTTCTGATTTGTAAGAGTCAGAAATGGAAAAGAATGAGCAGCTCTGGTAGCAGCCAAATTACTTATTTTAATAGTGAAGTTTAAAAAAAAGTCTCCTCTATTTAATTCACTTCTAAGAATGTCATGAGACAACTAGACAAATATAAACACAGATTTCTAAAAAATCATGGATTTTGTCAGGTTCTCTTTTTTATTTGGAATACTGATTTGCATCAGAAAGGGAAGAACTTGTAGATAATGTAAGTTTACTGTATGAAATTTGTGTTAAAGTGTAACTATAGGGCCGGCCCCATGGCTTGGCGGTTAAGTGCGCATGCTCTGCTGCTGGCGGCCCGGGTTCGGATCCCAGGCTTGCACTGACACACCGCTTCTCCGGCTATGCTGAGGCCACGTCCCACATACGGCAACTAGAAGGATGTGCAACTATGACATACAACTATCTACTGGGGCTTTGCGGGGGGGGGAATTTAAAGTGTAACTATAAAATCTCAAGTGGGGGCCAGCCCCATGGCTTAGCGGTTAAGCGCACGCACTCCGCTACTGGCGGCCCAGGGCTTGGATCCCAGGCACGCACCGACGCACCACTTCTCCGGCCATGCTGAGGCCGCGTCCCACATACAGCAGCTAGAAGGATGTACAACTATGACATACAACTATCTATTGGGGCTTTGGGGAAAAAAAAGGAGAAGGATTGGCAATAGATGTTAGCTCAGAGCCGGTCTTCCTCAGCAAAAAGAGGAGGAGTAGCATGGATGTTAGCTCAGGGCTGATCTTCCTCACAAAAAAAAAAAAAAAAATCTCAAGTGGCCTCCTGAAAATATAAAGCATTTCAAGAATATAAACAAATGACCATAAAATCTCTATTATAATGTAAAAAGTGCAGATTAAGTATGAAATAGAATGAACTAAAATGTAAAGAAAATATGGCAGTTCAACTTATTTTTTAGATCCACTTATATGCTTTCAAACAAAAAACCATTTTAAATACAAAGACTTAAATAGGTTAAAAGTAAAGGGGTAAAAAAATACATACCAAGAAAACACAAACCAAAAGAAAGCTAGAGTAGTTATATTCATTTTGAACAAAGTAGGCTTAAGAACAAGGAAGATTACCCAGGATAAAAAGGGACATTACATTACAATAAAGGGGTCAATTCTCCAAGAAGACATAAACATGTATGTGCCTAACAACAGAGCTTCAAAATACATGAGGCAAAAACTGACAGATTTGAAAAGAGAAATAGACAAACCTATAATTATAGCTGGAGATCAACAGCCTTCTAAATAAGTGATCAAAACAAGTAGGTAGAAAATCAGTAAGGAAAGAGATGACCTGAACAGCACTATCAAACAACTTGACCTAATTGACATTCACAGAACACTTCACCCAACAACAGCAGTGTTGTTCTACACATTCACTTAAGACTTTTCAGTAGCTTGGTTTGTTAAGGCAGCATGCATTAGGATTAAGAGATAACATCTTTTTAAAAAAATTATGGAAAAAATGAATAACATAAAATCTATAACTTAACCACCTTTAAGTGTATAGTTCAGTCAGCAGTGTTAAGTATATTCACATTGTTGTGAAACAGATATCCAGAACTTTTTTATCTTGCAAAACTGCAACTCTATATCCATTAAACAACAATCTCTTTTCCCCTGCCCCTCAGCTCCTGGTAACCACCATTTACTTTCTTTTTCTATGAATCTGACTACTTCAGATACCTCATATAACTGGAATCATACAGTATTTGTCTTTTTGTGACTGGCTTATTTCACTTTGCATAATGTCTTCCAGATTCAGCCATGTTGTAGCATGTGACAGGTTTCCTTCTTTTTACAAGGTGAATAATATTTAATTTATGTATACACCACATTTGGTTATCCATGTATCCACCAATGGACACCTGGGTTGCTTCCACCTCTTGGCTATTATGAATCATGCTACTATGAACATGGTGTGCAAATATCTCTTTGGGACCCTACTTTCAATTCTTTTGCATATACACTCAGAAGTGGGATTACCCTATATATGGTAGCTCGACTTTCAATTTTTTGAGGAACTACCATACTGTTTTCTCTATAAGCTGTACCACTTTATACACCCACCCTGCAGTGTACAACGGTTCCAATTTGTCTACGTTCTTACCAACACTTGTTATTTTCTTTCTTTCTTTCTTTTTTTTTTAATAGTAGCCATCCTAATGCATATGAGGTGATATCTCATTGTGGTTTTGATTTGTATTTCTCTGCTGATTAATAATGTCCAGGATCTTTGCATAAGCTTGTTGGCCATTTGTATGAGATAGCATCTTTTGATGTAGCTATCAAGAACTTTGTTTGAACTTGTCCTTGAATGTGTCTGTTAGGTCTCAAAGTGGTCTACATCTGCAAAGCCAGCCATCTAAAATCTAGGGCAGTTTCTCTTGCCAGCAAATCTATGACACATTTATAACTTAGTGAAACATATTCCATTACCATTAAATCCTCAAATAGAAAAACAGTGTCTTTGAAAAGGTGGTATAGTTAACATAAATAGGCATATAATATTACCCCGACATTAAGTAGATCCTGTTGGTTGATGGTGTTGTTGAGTTCTTCTGTATCCTTGCTGATTTTGTTCAGTTCTTTCAATTGTTGAGAGAGGGGAATTGAAGTCTCCAGCTATATTTGTGGATTTTTCTGTTTCTTCTTTTAGATCTATCAGTTTCTGCTTCACATATTTTGTAGGTCTGTTGTATGGTACATACTCATTTAGGATTGCCAAGTCTTCTTGGTGGATTCACTCCTTTATCATTGTCCTCTCTAGCCCTGGTAATTGTTTTTGCTCTTAAGTTTACTTTATCTAATATTAATACAGTAACTCCTGCTTTCTTCTAATATTTGCATGGTATATCTTTTTTTATCCTTTTCAGCTTACATATATCATTATCTCTGAAGTAAGTTTTTTGTAGACAGGACATAGTGTAATCCACTCTGCCAATCTTGGCCTTTTAATTGATATATTTAGTGCATATGAACTGAATGTAGTTAATAATATGTTCTATCTTCTAGTTCACTAATTCTTTCCTCTGTCCTCTCCATTCTACTGTAGAGCTTACTCATTGCTTTTGTTACTGTAGTTTTAGTTCTAAAATTTCCATTTCTTTCTTTATATCTGTTTTTTCATAAATTTCATGTGTTCATAACTGTTCATTAAAGAATTTTTATGATGGATGCTTTAAAATCTTTGTCAGATAATTCTAATATCTGTGCCATCTCTGTGTTGACTGTCTGATTGTTTTTTCTCATTCTGTTTGAGATCTCTCTGGTTCTTAGTGAGACAAGTAACTACCAACAGAAATCTGGAAATTTTGAGTATTATGTTATAAGACTCCAGATCTTATTTAATTCTTGTGTTTTAGCAGGCCTCCTCTGGCACCACACTCCAGTGGGTGACATGGGTGCTACCCTCATTACTGTCAGGTGGGGGCAGAAGTTCAGCTTCTCTACTAGGCCACTATCAACATGGGGGAGCTCCATGTTACCAACAGACAGAGGTGGAAGGCTCCCTCATTATCCTCCAAGAAACAGGGTGCAAGTCGGGCTCTATACTCGACCATAATTAGCTTAGGGTCACTGTGACCCTAACCAATAACAATAACCAATTGTTATTCTTAGCTCTTATTTGCCTTAACCTCTGCTGTATTGATACCACTGAATGTATCTTTCTTTAAAGCTTTCACCTCTCTTCAATTTCATGATATCACTCTTTCTGGATTTCTTCCCTTACCTCTCAAATACTTTCAGAATTTATTTAAAAAAAAAAAAAAAAAAAAAAAGAATTTATTCATGGGAGTCTCTTTCCTCCCTATCAAAATCTACTCTCCAGGTTCGGCCATAGCTCTTTTTCTCATTCTATATCCCTATCTAAGCAATTTCATCCATTCTCACAATTAAACTACCACTTTCAAAGTAAAGCCTCCTATATCTCCAGGCCAGAACTCAACTGACCACCAGAACCATAAATTTTACTGTTTACTAGTACTGTCCCTTTTGCTATATCACAGACATCTAAAAGGGAACTCTTCCCCTCCCCCACCCAAACTTGTTTTGCATTCATCGCTTCAGTTAGTGGCAAAATCATTTAGCAGGTCTCAAATAGTCAGAACAGTAGGAGTTAACTGGCACCCATTTCTCTCCTTCTTAATATCCATTCAATCAGTCCCGGAGTCGTGCTAAACAATTCTACCTCTTAAAACATTTCATTATTTCCTATTCACTCCAACTAAAATGCCTTAAGTAGGCTTCTTGTATCACCTTTTCTTAAACCATCTCTCATCTAGACATCCACAATGAACATGCTAGCCAAATGATCTTAAGGAAACTCAATTATGATATCACTGCTCTGATCAAAACTTTTCTTTTTTTTTGGTGAGGAAGATTGTCCCTGAGCTCACGTCTGTGCCAATTTTCCTCCACTTTATATGTGGGACGCTGCCACAGCACGGCTTGATGAGTGGTGTGCAGGTCCGGGCCAAGGATCCGAACCTGCGAACCCTGGCCGCTGAAGCAGAGCACGCGAACTTAACCACAATGCCATGGGGCAGGCCCCAAAACCTATCATTCTTTATAACAATGTTTTCCTTTCCCAAACTGTGGGTTGCAACCATTAGCAGGCTATACAATCAATTCAGCAGCTTTCAACAATCAGATTTTTTTAAAAATTGTTTAAGAAAATACATTTGAATAACTAGAAAATATATTTGAACAACTAGAAAATATTGGAATGCACTAATCACACTGATAGTTGTTTTGTTTCATATACACAACCATTTTATATCACAAACCAGTAAACACATACAAATTTATACATGTATAAACACACTGCACATACATGTATATGCATGTGTATACTGGGTCATGATGCAAGCTCTTCCAGGAAAGCTTCTTGGTCCCTCATATTTCCAAGCCCCCACAGAGAATGAAGCATTCTTTTTCTGCATCTTCTGCTTTAATCTCATATTTGTGTTCCCTACAAGACCATAAACTTCTAACATAGTACTTGGCACAAAGCTGGCACTTGGTGAGCATTTATTGAAGGAAATGAGTGAAACCGTACTTCTGTGCTTGCTCAACAAATTATTACCTAACTTAGGGCAGTAACGATTTTTTAAAGGCTTAAGACACTATAACAATAACAACATAATAAGTTATCATTTATGAACACTTTGCATGTGTCAGGTATTTTTCCTAGCACTTGACATGTATTATCTTATTTAATTTTCACAACCCTTTTAGATATTATTCTTCTTCTCATTTTTAAAATGAGGAAACAAAGTACAGACATTAAATAACTTTCCAAATGTCACACAATAAGTGGCAGTGATGGAATTCAAAACCCAAACAATTTTGACTCTAGAAAGCAAAGACATACATTATAAAATGTTGAAGATTTGCTAAAAGGTTAGTAGAAAATCAACTTACTTCAAATAGAAGTCTATAATAACATCATTTAAAAATTCTCCTTCACTTAGACAGTGCAGGTCCTCATTAGTAACGGAGATGCCTCCCTTAGCTGGAGGTGGTGGATATACTATCAATCTGTAACAAAATAAAAAACCAAGCAAATAAACAAATACATACATATATATATAATTGAAGTGCAATAAAACAAAGAAGAAATTTAAGACTGTTTCAAATGTAAAGGAATTTTCTCACTTTTCTACAGGGCCCATGAAGATGGTGTGACTCTCTCCAGTTTCTTCCTCATCATCAAAAAACTGGAATTCTTGTTTGTTTTTAAGTTGTATTTTAGATTCAAGGGACACCTGGTAAGGAAAATTATAAATTTTCGAAGTCAATTGGTAAAATTTTCAATAAAAAGAGCAAGCACAAGGCAAAAGTGCTTTTTAATTAAAAAGAATTAAAAATATGAATCTAAAAAGTATGCATAATTTTTAACAATTAAAGATAAAGACGAGGGCCAGCCCCCTGGCCTAGTGGACTGCTCTGCTTCGGCAGCCCAGGTTTGGTTCCCGGGTGTGGACCTATACCACTCGTCGACGGCCATGCTGTGGAGGCGACCCACACACAAAATAGAGGAAGACTGGCACAGGTGTTAGCTCAGGGCGAATCTTCCTCAGCAAAAAATAAAAAACAAATAAATAAAATAAACAGGCAAACTAGGGTCCACTTTATTTGTAGCTTCTAGCACGGTGAAACTCTTCCCATTTTTGTAACAACGGTTTTTCTGGTATCTTGTCTCTAAGATCTCTACTATCCTAGTAAATTAGATTATGTTAGTAAAATCCAAAGAATAGACATAGTGATTTTTTCATTCTAGCAGTGGAGGCCTACCTAAGTTCAGTGGCTAGGCAATCCACGGGACATGGGAGCAGAGGCTCAGGGAACACAGTCCAATGAGCTTGAGGCCTCTAGAATCACGGAGTCCTTAAAGGAAGAGTCTTCCATTGAAATTTGAGTCCATTACAGCTGCCTTAAGGCTCCAGCTGCTCTTTTCTTCCTCTGGAATTATCTCCTATAGCCAATCCTGCAAAAGAAGGGGAATGATTCCCCTTCCTTCTTCTGTTCTTTTCCTCAACCCACTAACTGTGTGAATAGCTCTTCTCTGGTGAGACCTTGCTCAACTTCACCAAGATTGCGCCTTGGATGGCCCTATTTCCAAGGCTGTAGCCAGGCTGAAAGATTTTAAGTATTCCCAATAAACTAAGTCAGAAAAATTCAGTTGCTGCGGTAGGGGACAAATTTAGAGTATTTAAGTTACATTTGTATTATTTAACATTATACTGTGTTACAGTAGTACTGTGGCCTTTGGTTCAGGTGGCTTCAGAATTACCTACTACATCATTAGTTATTCTAGAATTGGATACATATGTTGACAGTCAGGATAAAATGGTATGTATTCTTCACTTCCCAAGTTTTCAACCATGTATGCACATTTTACATTTAAACGTACATCAGGGACAAAATTCCTTTATTTGTATTGAAGCCAATGGCATCACTGGGAACCACCAGCAAATTTAAGAAACCAGGTAACAATCAATTTGAATGTAGCAGTGTATCTATGTTGAGGGTGGGAGAAAAAGAAGAAAAGATGAAAGAAAAAAAAAAAGGAGACAAAAAGTAAAGACAAGAATAGAGTATGGAAAGGAACTAAAAATGCTTCTGAGACCTGTACCAAGAACTATTTGTGTCACAAGTCACTTACCCACCATTAATGTTTTAACACAAGACAGCTTACAAATCATATATAACAGCAAATAATTCTGAAACGGAATTCAAAAGATCTAACTTCGAAATAAACATTATGATAATGAAACATATTTCCCTTTAAAGCTACCCATTATTTTAAAATTATATTTAAAAAAGTATGGGGCTGGCCCCGTGGCTTAGCGGTTAAGTGCATGCGCTCCACTGCTGGCGGCCCGGGGTTCGGATCCCACATACAGCAACTAGAAGGATGTGCAGCTATGACATACAACTATCTACTGGAGCTTTGGGGGAAATAAATAAATAAAATTATTTAAAAAATAAATAAATAAATAAAAAAGTAAAAAACATAATTACATTTTTAATTTTGTTTTCTTTTTGCACACAACTTCCTTTGATGTTCTCTTCATAGGTTCTTGTACAGGCAACAAGTCTGCTATTGGCTTCTTCAAAGGGAATTTTCGCAAAAAAATTAGACACCTTATTCTTTATACCAATGTCAGTAATGATATTTTCAAATACCATATTTGCTTGAGGATCAAGGCCATTTTGAAAGATTAAAATTATATATTGTTCTTCCAAATCTGAAAAGAAATCAATATAACTATAAGTCTAAAAGAAAAAAATAAGTAAATAGATATTAGAAAAAGAGTAACAACTAATTATTCCCAAGAATATCACAAGAAATCTTGGTATAAATGTTCAAAACAATGTTTGGCATACAGTGGATATACAATAAATACTGAAATAAAACCAGTGACAGTGTTACCTGACAATGTCACCTAAGTTATTAAGAGAAAGGAACTAGAACAAATTACTCTAGCAGCAGCTCAAGAACAAATCTATTCATGGATGTAACTAATTTACTTCACCTAATAGGATCCAAATATTTTTATAGTTTTAAATATATAACAATCAACATTTTTGTCAAACACAAATAAGAAATTGCCAAGTGAACTGCTGTTACCTCTCGAGTTTTATTTAACTGCAAACACTGCTATTCACTTATGTGCCAGCTCTGGCAGCTTTAACAGCAGCTATCATTTACTCAACATGAAGCTGAGGCAGCAATTATTGCTGAAAACTATGTATTTCACAACTAGTCACACCACGCCATAAGTGGTAGAATGGAAGGGAAACCCTAGAGAACCACATCTATTTACTGGGGAGGATGAAGGCACCTTCCATGAACTTGCAAGCTTCCTATTCAGGCTAAGTTTCAAAGATTCCACATTTATATGGTTGATCTACACTTAGCACCTATCAGTGCATTAAGAAAATTCATTTTACTCAGATAATGTAGTATTAAAATAAAGAACGCAGATCTTTTGAGTTTTAACTCATTTTGAAAACTTTCTAAATGGGTAAACCTAGGTTTTATCTTCAGACCTTCTACTTTCTGTGGGTTTCTCCTCATCTGTAAAATGGAGGAAGTAATATCTATCTTACAAGGTCGCTGTAAAGACTATAGATAATATACATCTAAGGCCTCTATCAGAGTGCACCCACCTTCTGCTATTCAATGAGTTGTATGTATTATTATAATCTGTTCTACATAACTTACTTGTTAACTTATTTATTCCTTTACAATCACTCCAAGCTTTATCCTCCATATTCATTTGCAGTTGCATGCTCAGCTTTTGATAAACTGCTGGTATCGTCTGAAGAAACACTACTGGTAATTTTCGGACATTACACCATTCACATTTAGTTAGATCAGAGGTATTTAAAGTAATCCCTACAGGATCGTTTTCTGGTTCTGGAGGAAAGCAAATGGAAACGGAAAAGGAATCAATTCTAAGAGGGCAAAAGCATGAATGGAGAAAATTGTGAGGAAACACAAGTTTCAAGTTAAACATATATTTATTATGCTCTGTAAACAGTAACTCTAGTGGGAAATGAAGAAAAATCTTTATAACTATCTTAAAGAAGCTTCTACATTTTTTTTCCTATGAAAAGAGGGTTCTAATGAAGTGTATTTATAAAATTAAAGATAGGTTTTGTGATGTTACAGAATGAAATTACACCATCAAGATATATGCCCTTTGTTAAGGACATATATGTAATAACTAATCATCTTTAATGAATTCCATGAATATCATTTAGTCTTTTATTCCTGTAAAGTGCTTAGTGTAAACAAAGCCTTAGTGAATAAAAAAACATAAAACAGCTTACCTTCTAGCTGTATCTTGATAAAATCTAAACAAAACTGAAAAATAAGATAAATTAGTACCAATCGTAGATTTTTGAAGATTTTGCTACAAACACCATGAACGACATATTTGGGACCTAGACTATAGAAGGCAGAAAAACTGAACCATCTATCACGTGCTTAAATATGAGATGAGATATCCACTCCACCCCCAAATTATCTCTCAGAAAGGCAGCCTTCACTTTTTCTATTCAAGTACTTAGAACATTTCTTATATTACTGACCTATTTCTTATAACTTCAAAGAGAAGTTGACAGAATACTACAATGAACACCCAAATACTCCTTACCTGGATTCACTAACTATTAACATCTTGCCACACCTACCTCCGTCACTCTTTTTATGTATATACACCCTTCTCTTTTGATAAACCAGCTGAGCAGGTTTAAAGCAGGCTGAGAAAATCACGACATTCAATCGCTAAGCCCTTCAGCATATATCTCCCAAGAACTAGGGCATCTTCCTATACAACCAAAACATCATTACCTCATCTAAAAAAATCAAGATTAACTTCATTCAACATAAGTTCATACTCAAATTTCCTCAACTGTTCAAAATTGTCCATTATTGCTGTTTTAACTTTTTCCTGTCCATGATTCTGCCACGGTTACATTACACTTGTCTCTTCTGTCTACTCCTGTCTAGACCAGAAACCTGCCTCTCTCTATTCTTCTTGACATGGACTTGGAAGAATCCAACAACATCCTGGACTTGAATTCCCTCCTTTTTAAATTCAGGCCACACATTTCCAGCAAACACAGCACAGAGGGGATGTTTTATACCTCCCACTACATCACAACAGAAGGCACTTGATGTCAGGCTGTCCCACTGTTGATACAAGCGTGGTGCAGGCAGTGTGTGAGGTTTTTCCACTGTAAAAATATATTTTTCCCTTTGTAATTAAATAGTAATCTGTGGAGAGATACCTGAAAGCTTCTGACTATCCTGTTCCCTAATAACCTTTCTCCCAATGGTTTCTGCCTGAATTGGTTATTACTGGTGGTTATAAAAAGGTGATTTTCCAACTAAGTATTTTAATGTGGAGAAGACATATTAAGCCTGATAACACCCTGACTTAATAATCACGTGTGTTTATGTAAATTAAGAGAATCAAAAAGGGAGACAAGAACTTTAAAATGCATTAAAAAATAAGTTGCATCGATATATAGAGGGACGACTAGATACATGAAAAGCAAGTTTAGTAAAATGCTAATGGCAGAAGCTAGCTGTGAGTTTTATGATTGTTCACTGTAAAATTCTTCCAACTCTTCTATTTGAAAATTTTCACAATGTAAAAAAAGGAAGCAAGAAAATACAAAATAAATTTAGTAATTACCACAACAATAGCAAAGTCTAGAATGTCACTAAACACACCTTCTAAAGATTGTATTGCAAAGGAATACGTTAATTGGTTTTACTAGAAAGTAACACATTAATTGGGGATCAAGAATGGGTACTTGTAGCGTGGGAAACATTTCAACATACACAGAAGCTGAAGTTATATGCTTTAGAAAAGTATGTCAGAAAAAAAGTGTAAATAACTATCACAAACACTAATGCATAAGCATCTGAATAAAACTGTTGCATGAGAAGTAGGAATAAAAAGAAGCATGTCTAAATATTTGTCATTCAAAAATTTGTGTGCAAGTAAATTACTCACAAATATTAATATTGCAAGTAGACATTGGGCTATTTGACCTACATCCCCAAGAGTTTCTAAATTTAAGTTGGCCGAAAATCCTTTACTTCCTATCTTCTCAATTTTTTCACTGGAAAAATGAGGGACTGCACTATATTTGGACATATATGGTATTCCTAATAATGTGAGCCATTTTCCTTAAATAAAATATTTAAATAAAAGTATTTACAGTTAAATAAAATTGGCACTTCTAGATAGTGCCAATTCTAACACTGAGTGAATTTAAAATAATTAAATAAATGACTATGAAATTTGAGAAAACATTTAAAATCTGTTTCTTAGATTAATAATGACATGGCAGATAAACCATTTCACTATAAAACATAAGGAAGTTATGTTCAAGAAGAAAATGTCAAATTGTCTTTTTACTACACTATCTAAAGAAATTACAGGGCCGGCCCCGTGGCTTAGCGGTTAAGTGCGTGCGCTCCGCTATTGGCGGCCTGGGTTCGGATCCTGGGCGTGCACAGACGCACCGCTTCTCCGGCCATGCTGAGGCCGCGTCCCACATATACCAACTAGAAGGATGTGCAGCTATGACATACAACTATCTACTGGGGCTTTGGAGGAAAAAAATAAATAAATAAAATCATAAAAAAAAAAAAAAAAGAAAAGAAAAAGAAATTACAGATCCACTATACTTCATCAAAGGACATTTTTTGGGAAAATCCCATGGCACAAGGAAGGTTAATACCAGAGACTGCAAACTTTCACCACATTATAAGCACAACTACTTTTTGGCTGAAATATTTCATTTAGCATTTTATTTTATTTTTATTTTATTTATTTATTTTTCCCCCAAAGCCCCAGTAGATAGTTGTATGTCATAGCTGCACATCCTTCTAGTTGCTGTACGTGGGACGCGGCCTCAGCATGGCCGGAGAAGCAGTGCGTCGGTGTGTGCCCGGGATCCGAACCCGGGCTGCCAGTAGCAGAGCACGCACTTAACCGCTAAGCCACGGGGCTGGCCCAAGCATTTTAATTAAAGAAAACCTGTATCAACACATTTTACATTACACATACTGCCTTTTATTTCTTAAAGTAAACTCACAAAGTTACTTTTTCTTCACCAGATCAGATATATTCTAACCTGTAACTTTCATGTAAAAGAAATTTCATTCAAATTTTAATGTAATTCTTGCTAGATAGCCTTGGGACTAAACATGCAACTTCCAACTAAATGTCTAAATTACCAGCAAAACCTTAATCATACTGAAAAGTTCTGAATAATGGTGTTAATGTAGGGGAAAGCCATAATACCTAAAGGGTACACCTGGAAATTTCTGAGGTATAGTGACATAGAATCACATTTTAAGTTAACTGACAGAAACCAGGAAAGATAATCTGTACTATGAAGGCTTGTAACAAAACAGAAGTTTAATAAATCCCCGAAAACCTTGACGTATTGTTACAATGTTATTGGGCAATAATGGATAGATAGTCTATATATAATTTGCTTTAAATCTCTGGAGTACTTAAAGTTTTTATATTGTGAGAAACTGGAGTTTTTTGATGAAAAAGAAAAAAATGCTAGTTTCCCATACACCTTTGCTCTGGTAAGAAATCAGGTCCACACTTCATTTTCTCCTATAAACTAACCTATAACGTTTTTTTTTTCCTTTTGATCATATTATATCCTAGAAAATAAATAGTTATTATTCACCATAATTTAAATAATAAAACTATATTTTAACTTTCTTGATGTGATATAATGTATTTTCTTAAAATACTGCTTTATGTATAAAAGACAACACTGGCAGAGTTTGAAAGAATAGTGGAAAACAGTCAGGGACAAGTTAAGGCATTAAAAAATAAAGGCTTACAAAATAAGTGCAGTGCTATAGGAAGATTAAGCTACCAACAATGTGTAAAACACATTAGAAAGAAGAAATACGACGACTAAGAAGGCTGGTTAAAGAGATTACATTAAAATTTCAAATAGAAAAGACACATTTGAATGGGATTGGTGGCAGGGGAACAATAAGTAGACAGGAATGACAGAGAAGATAAAGGGACTATAGAAAGTCCTTTGGACTTGGTGGACACTGAACTAGTCCAAAAGCACAATGTGTCTTGGGTGGCAACTGTAGTCCAAAAACCCACTTCTAGGCATCTTGATGCAAAACATTTTTCTGCTGACCCCAAAGTTTTTGCATTCTTCTTTCTCCCATTATAGTTCTTTAAAATACTCTTTTCATGCATTGAGCTGGCATGAGAATAAAACAGTAACATATTGGAGGGTTTTCTAACTCAGTGAGAATATTAAGTATCTTCCTATGATGAATATGTCCCTATCTTGAATATTACATTACAATAAATTTTTTATCCACTGATTTTTAAGGTGAGGAGCTATTTATAATTGTTTATATACTCTTAAAGCAATATGAAATCTTAAAATAATTTAATATTCTATTAAATACTTTATCATACAAATTTTAAAATATTACATATTAGTCTTAGCCATGTAATTTCGAATCTTATAATGTGGTACATACAGTAAAGTGATTAAGAATGTACTTACAATAACAGGCTCTATTAAAAGCCGGAAGAGTGTTCCTACTCGTATACTTCGACAGTTTAAAATGACACTGTCAAAAGAACTTTGGCAGCTTAAAGAGACAGGATCAACTAAAGTTTCTTGAGAAATCACTTTGCGACGTTTTAGAGGTGTGTTGATAATAGAATTACCAAACTGAAAAAGAAAATTTTCACTTAATAAGTTACTAAAACAAGGCTGCAAACTAAGTACACATATGCAAAGAAGAGCCAATATAAGAAATATAATTATCAAAACGTAAGATTGATTTTACTTCAACAGTGTTAGATGAAGTAAAAACATTGATTTTATATAATAGTAAACCCCTTCTATTTTATCTAGCTGACACTTTATCTAGTTATTTCCTGAAATTCAAGTAATAGCACAGGCAATGAGGAATGGCACTCTGGGAATCAGACTGCCTGGGTTCAAATCACAGCTATATCACCTTTTACAGATCTGATCTTGTAAAACTTAATAACTCCTTAAGTTTTCGTTTTCTAAACTATAAAATATGCAGAATATCTATTCAAATAAGCTAACGCATATAAGCAGGTTAGCACAATGCTTCATGCACACTAAAATGTTGGATAAAAGTTAGCTAGTAACAGTGGTTGTAGTACAGTCACGTGTAGCGTAAGGAGGGGAACAGTTCTGAGAAACGCATCATTAGGTGATTTTACCATTGTGCGAATATCATGGAGTGTGCTTACACAAACCTTGATGGTATAGCCTACTAGACACCTAGGCTATATGGTACTAATCTTATGGGACCACTGTCATACCTGTTCCAATGCTGACTGAAATGTCATTATGTGGCACATGACTGTACTTGGACTACATCAGCAATTCGTTAGGAAACAGGTAATTTAGGGGAATGGTTATTTGCATTACAAAAGGACGCTTCTTTATATATTTAACAATTTTAAACTAGTCATGCGTCGCATAACGTTTCAGTCAACGATGGTGCAACGGACTGTATGTACAACGGTGGTCTCATAAGATTAGTACCATCTAGCCTAGGTGTGTAGTAGGCTATACCATCTAGGTTCGTGTAGGTACACTCTGATGTTTGCACAATGACAAAATCACCTAACTGTGCATTTCCCAGAATGTATCCCCATCATTAAGTGACACATGACTGTACTTGATCTGTTAAATTAACATTTCACAGTCACTTCCAAATGCAAATTAATCACAGTATTTTATATGTATAATTTAAACTAAAAGTAATTAAAGTTATCACATTATAAACTTTATTATCATAAGAATAAAACATGATCTTGACAGAAAACAAGAGGAAAAAATTGTCCACTGCACAGAGACAGGCACTATTCCCATTATCCTTCTAGAGACATTTCTGTGATCTATGTCATCAGAAAAAATACGTATTAAAACAGAACGTGATTTATATATATATAAATTATATATAAACATATATATATGTATTTCTGCAAACTGCTTTTTCAGGCTTATCAACGAATTTATCATGAGTATTTTCCCAGATTATAACAGAAAGCTAACAGAGACGTTTAAAAACTTTTTTCAGCTTTAGAATTCTCTCTTCAAATGAGATGCTATTTAGCTCAAAAATAAAATAGATAATTGAAGAGCTGGTCGAGCTGAATCCAGTAGAGGGACTGAGTCCAGAATCTGGGTGGTCCACATTCTCCCCAGGAGACTCTAAAAGAGCACTGGAGAATCTTACTGTTCACTGTGCCAGTTTGAAAACTGCTCACCCACAAATTCCATCATATGGAAATCCATTATTTAACCTAACCCTCTTATGCTGGACATCTGAGTTCTTTCTGACCTTTTCCCATAACACACTATCCTCCAATAAGCATTTCTGCAGCTAAATCCTGGTATATATAACCATTGCCAAAATGCTCCCCAGCATAGTTATACCAATTTACACACCCAACATTCCATTTCTCCAAACACTAGTCAACATGAAATACTATTATACTTCAAAAATTTTCAGCAATATGACAGTTAACAAAATGTATTTTGTGTGTGTGTGTGAGGAAGACTGGCCCTGAGCTAACACCTGTTGCTAATCTTCCTCTTTTTTTTGTTGCTGAGCTCACATCAGTGCCAATCTTCCTCCATTTTGTATGTGGGACGCCACCACAGCATGGCTTGATGAGCGGTGTGTACGTCCACACCCGGGATCCAAACCGGTGAACCCTGGGCTGCCAAAGTGGAGTGCTCGAACTTAACCACTATGCCACCAGGCCGGCCCCTTTTAACTTCATTTTCAGTACTTCACTACCTTTTTTGAACTCTATTCATTTCCTTTACTCATTTTTCTATGGTTTACTTCTATTTCTCGATTTTCAAGAAATTACAAATATATAAAGGACCAATTCACATTTTGTCATACAGTTCACTATTTTTTCCCTATTTGCATTTACATATCAAATTCTGTTTATGATGTTTTGGTACACTGTTCTATACTTTTCATTTAATCAAATCTATTCATCGTTTCATTTACTATTTTTGTCTGTGCTGAAATTTTGGAAAGGCATTCCCCAAGATTATATTAAAAATATCAATCCATATTTTTTCTATTATCTTTATAGTTACTTTTTGTTTTTTATTTGTTATGGTTCCCATCTGAGCAACCAAGTACATATGTTTCTATATTTTTATTAGTCCTATAATCTCTGTCATATATATGTACACACACACACACACATAATTTTTTAACACAAGTTTTTTATTTTAAAAAAAGTTCTTTTAGGGCCAGCCCTGTGGCCTAGTGGTTAAGTTCAATGTGCTCCACTTCAGCAGCCTGGGTTTGGTTCCTGGGCACAGACCCACACTAATCCTCAGTGGCCACGCTGTCATGGCGACCCACATACAAAACAGAGGAAAACTGGCACAGATGTTAGCTCAGGGCAAATCTTCCTCAGTCAAAAAAAACCCAAATGTTCTTTTTACAAAAATAAGACAATATGCACCTATTTCTGCCTCTTGGTATTCCCATTCAACAGTACCATGTAGAAATGCTGAAAGTCATTGATATAGCTCTAATTTTTATTGTCAGTAGCTGTATAATAGTCCATGGTACAGATATACTGTAATTTCTTCAACCATTTCCATACCAATGGGCAATGATTTTGTTTGGAGTTGTTTGCCAGTAATCATGTTTATACATACAGTCTTACATACTGGGGGGGGGGGGATGCCTTTGAGATTGAGTCTAGGGAATGAATTATTTGGTCATTTGGTATACATTTAAAAAAAATTTTTTTTTTTTTTTTTTTTTTTTGGTGAGGAAGATCAGCCTTGAGCTAACATCCAATGCCAATCCTCCTCTTTTTTGCTGAGGAAGACTGGCCCTGGGCTAACATCCGTGCCCATCTTCCTCTACTTTATATGAGATGCCACCACAGCATGGCTTGACAAGCAGTGTGTCGGTGTGCACCCGGAATCCGAACCTGCGAACCCTGGGCCGCCAAAGCGGAGCGTGCACACTTCACTGCTGTGCCACCAGGCCAGCCCCCATTTAAAAATTTTTAATAAATGTTTTTACATTGCTTTCCCAAAAGGTCATAACTTTCTCTTCCATCAGCAATTTAGGAAAGTAACTTTTCCCTTGGATTCTTGCCAGCAGTACATATTAATTGATCTTGTATTAATTTTGAAAGTCTGTTAAGTATACAGTTATATTTCATTTTCTTTAATTTGCACTTCCTTAGTAATTTGCACTTTTCATGTAGTAGTTTATTATCTGAATTTTCTCCTTTGACTATTCCTATCTTTTTTCCCTCCAACTTTTAAGAGTTCTTAGTCTATTATAGATATTAAAGTAATATATGTAATACGCATTACAAACATTCCTCTCTAGCTCTATTGTTTATTGATATAATTTTTATCTTTTGCCATCTGAACATTTTGAAATTTTTTATATGGTAAAACAACAATATTACAGTAAAATCTACCCAAGTTAAAATGACTTCTCTCTGTCCACTAGATTATACAAGTATACTTATTTACACTTATATTTCGCTGCAAAGTTGATATTGTTTCTTCTTGTTGAATTTTTTACGCTTTAAGCCTTTAATTTGAAATTTATTTTTGTGTTTTAATGTTCTTCCAAATAATCTTCCAAGTGGTATTTTAAGTCCCACTTAATGAATAACCATCTTTTTCTCCTATTGACACTGCCAAATTACCCTCCAAAAAAAAAATTTACATCCCAAACAGGAGACTTACTCTAAATAAATGTAAATAAATGTGGAAAGTACCTGGTCTTTCATTCTTGCTTTTCTTGGCAATGTAACTGTATTTAACTCTGAATCTGCTGGAATGCTTCTTGGTTCATGCTCTACTCTACAGGTATTTTCATTTAGTGCTGCTTCTACTTTTCCAGTGGATGGTGCTGGGGAAGAACATGCTGAATCAGCAGGTTGAGGAGATATGCTCTCTCTTCTGTTAGTCCTGTCATTGTCGTCATCATCATCATCACTGGACAAAATGACTATGAAGAAAAGGTTAAATACTTCAGGAATTTCACTTCTGTCAGTTAAAAACGTAAATAGATTACCAAAGTGGGAAATATACCAAATTTGCTTTGGATCTCCTCCAGATCTGAGCTTAACAAAAACAAGTGAAGATACAATTCATTCTGCCTGATAAAAAGTTAAATTTAGAGAACAATTAAAAATGAAGAAAGCCTAAGAACTGATATTCCTTTTTTTTTTTTACAATATACAAATATGAAATTGATTCCATAGTCCATCACCATCACCCACACAGAAACATACAAAAGTTACAGCAAAAATTACAGGTTTATCAGTAGGTCTATTTCAGAGTTCCAAAAAATGTAAAGTATGAAGATAATCTGCATACAAATAGTTCACAAAATAGCATGCATTTTAAATGCGTGCAAAACTCCATGTGACCAAATAATTTTATCTCACACAGGAAAGCACTAAAATCATAATCGGTCCTTGGGAGAACCTGGACCTAATGCTCAATAAATCTTATTGAGTAAATGAAAGTGGGCAAGGAAAGGCATTATGAAGGTAATTTGCTCTTATACTTTGTACTCTATTAAATCTTGCCAAACCTACCTCTATATCACAATTCCCCAGAGCCACCCACATTGCACTTGAGTCAAATCCTAACTCCTTCCTCTGATTTATGAATGTACACAATCTGGCCCTTGCCTACTTCTCCACCTTTCTCATACTACTCCACTTTTCCCTCTTTATGCTCCAGGCACACTAGCCATTTATTTTGTTCCTCAAACACAACAAGCTTGTTCCTGTTTAGACAGCAATTCCCCTAACACTTTGCATTTTTGTCATCAATTTTTAGCTTAAATATTACTTTTTGATTGACTACCCAATCTAAAGTAAGCACATAAGTACTCGCTTATTCACATCAACTGATTTAAATTTTCTGTTGTGCATGTTGTGCATGTTTACTTGTCTTTTCCCACTAGATATAAACTATAAGAGAACAAGGACACTGCCTGTTTCACTGCTATATTCCCAGAGTCTAAAATAGTGCCTGGCACAGAAAAAGCATTCAAAAATCATGTGTTGAAGAATGTATAAACTTGTAGGAGCAATTTTCTATTTTAGTATCCCACACATAAATGCTTAGTTAATATATATTTTTGTGTGTGTGTGAGGAAGACCAGCTCTGAGCCAACATCCGATGCCAATCCTCCTCTTTTTTGCTGAGGAAGATTGCCCCTGGGCTAACATCTGTGCCCATCTTCCTCCACTTCATATGGGGCGCTGCCACGGCATGGCTTTGACAAGTGGTGCGTCGGTGTGCGCTGGGGATCTGAACCTGCGAACCCCCGGCCACGAAAGCAGAGTGCACGCACCCAACTGCTGCGCCACCAGGCCAGCCATTAGTTAATATTTTTTGAGTAATATACATGTCACAGAAAGGCAGCATCCGCAGCATCACTCCATTTGTCTTTTTTATTTTGCTACCTAGTCTCAAGAGCAAATGCTCAAGTCGGCCCTTTTTCAGAACTGGTATTTTATGAATACACAATCTAACAGGCCAGATTACAAGACCTAAGCAGATTTACACATATTTGAAAGTTAGGGTTTTGCCACTTACTAGCTGTCTGCCTCAATTTCTCCTGTCTGTGAAACTGAGGACAATAATGATATCTATTTCAAAAGACAGTCACAAAAACATGATTTAATATGTAAAAGGTTTAGCACAGTGCCTGACATACATAAGCTTTAAAAGAAGGTCACAAACTGTTTATGTTGATGAAAAACTACAGAAATATATACTAAAAGGGAAGCCTAGTGTTCTAACTACAATTATTTTTATGCTGCTTCAGAGACATGAAAACTTCTACAGCTACTATATCAAAACCTTACTATAAAGCACCAAGGCTGCAACAGGTAGAATTGTAGTTATTTTATTAACTTAAAATAAATGATGGTTGTGCTCAGTTTCACCATAATTGCAAAGCAAATGGGGAGAGTGTGCGAAGATGATATTATACAGTTAAAAAGCTGTTCTCATAGCTGCTTTAATTCTACATAAAATATAGACTATATTCTACATAAATATCTAAGATTCTGCAGCAGGGCCTGCTATGGACTGAAACGTGTTCCCTCCAAATTCATATGTCGAACCCCTAAAACCCAATGTGACTATATTTGGAGATAGGGCCCATAAGGAGGTAATAAAGGTTAAATGAGGTCATAAAGGTGAGACTTGAATCTGATAGGACTGGTGACCTCATAAGAAGAGAAGATGCCAGAGATCTCTCCCTCTTTCTCTGTGCACACACAGAAGGAAGGCCAGAGATCTCTCCCTCTTTCTCTGTGCACACACAGAAGGAAGGCCAGAG